AGTTAACTTGATTGTGTTACATTTTTTAATAGGCATTTTGAGTTACTTTAGTTAGAATTTCGTTCCGGACTTAATAACGGTTTACCGTTCCCTAGTTTTTATAGTCGGTCCTAATAAAATAACTTTGCCCACCAATCATATTCTCTGAAAACGTATTTTCCAATAAATAACTCTTTCGATAATATATAAATCTCCTGTACTATAAATGATTTCAAATATAATTTATTGCTTCATTTTTTTTTAATTAAAATTTTTCAGATGATGCCATAATTTCAATGTCTGTCGAAGTTATATACAGTATAAGTATGGTAGTGTTGGATTTGGACATATACGTATGATGTCAGATATGTCCAATAATTCTGGTTACCCGAACGACATTAGTGTTGTTGAAGTATTTACTACGCCACAAAAAACTACCAATATTTTTGAGAAAAGAATTTTTGATATCATTTGAGGAATTTTTTTTTGCAAATTCTAATAAATCAAAAACTAGAAATGTACAATAAATATTTGAAAAACAGACGTAAATTTTTAATTAAAAAGGCAATTACTAAAATACAAAGAAATGTTTCCTTCAAATATACAATCAATGCTAATAATTATTAAGAAATCCAAATAAATTAATAAATAACTTTCTTTATTCATTCCTTTATCGACTCCTTAATTGACCAATGGGTACTTCTTCATCACTAGCCATCTCACTTTTCTTTTCGTTGTAAGAACGTTTTACCAATAGGGTAATTATCTTCGGAACCTTTATAGCTACTTCCTTTTTCGGAATTTAAATAGTCAGCTATGCCAAGTACTTCATCCAACACCGACTCATATTTATCATCCATACCATATTCAACCTTTTCCGATAATGATTTATCAGCAGATAACAGACGAGTGTGCGAAGAAGTTGATGCCGCACGAAACGAATCGGTTTTACTGGAGCTAATTCGACCTAAAGGAGTTGTATCGTCGTCCTCATCATTAATGACATTAAGTTCGGTAGGTTTCCAAGAATTTAATTGGCCTGATGGTGGTAACTTTGCCAACATAGCTAAGGGTAACCTATCACCCAATGGAACATCCGAGGAGGAAGTGGTTGATTCTGTATCAGCATGGGAAATTAAGTCAATTGGTTTATGCCTGCTACTGCTACTTCTATTTAAATTAGCAAGAGGTGTTGAATCTTATTCCTCTTTCCCGCGCCCCTGTCACTTTGGTGTGTTTGGTTTGATGGTGTAGTCTTTGAGCGATGAACGCCCACGGAGGATCCCTTGTTTTTACTTATTGAATCATTATTTGAATGCTTTTCTTCACGATGATCCCCACGATCTCGTTCACGATCGGTTTGTCTCGCTCTAGTGGATGAACCTCTATGTAAATCGGTCGTTTTCGATGCAGGAGGAGGAGGAGAAGAACGTGAACGATGTCTTTTTGATGGACCACGATCAATTCTGCGACCTTCGCGATCTTCTTCACCACCCCTTCTGTGTGATGCGCTATTATGATTATTAGATAATTTTCTTTCTCTCCGTGAATCATGCTCACCATTACGTGGTTTTGATCTCGATTTTTTATGATTAATTGAAGTTGAACTTGAACGTTTCGATGAATAAAAATCCTTGTTGTCATCACTTGTTACATATATAAAATTTTATATACTCAGATGGTGACAATCTTAGCCGTGAAATTGCTGTAACTAATGAACATAAATAAATATTTGAGGTGATATACTTTATATTTTACGTATCCACAAAAAAAGTTGAGATTATTTATATCATCATATTATATCTGAAATTTATACTAATTTTATTATTTATTGGTCGAGTGGACCAATAGAAAAATTTTTGACCAAATTTAGATTTCCCTCTGGAAGATTGTTTATTAGTAGTGAACTTCGGAGTTAATAAGTTGGTTTATATTTTTGAAAACCTCTGGATTCCAAAAATAAATTATGTAATAAAGGCAAGAAATTTTAAATATGATAATAATGAAGGAGGCGGCGAACATAGTAATGAATTTTGATGATAGTATTTCGGATTTGAATCAAAGATAATAGATTTGACGCATATAGCTTTTATAATAGATATATAAATTTTAATAAATTTTCTTTACGGTTAATTTGGAAAATGTAATTACAATTATGACTTCTTTTAGCAATAAATGCTATGCTAAATTCAGCATGTATTGGCGCAGCATATCATGGACTAAATCTATATAAATCGTATTTAGAATTTTAAGGATTCGTTATATCTTTTTTTTTTTTTGAATGCCATGACAGATATCGAAGGTTTTTTTTTTTTTTTTCTTTTTTGTTGTCATTTAAATAAGGAGAAAAACATTTAATTCGTCTTTCATTTAAATAGATACTATACCACTTAGTCAAGCGCAAATAGAAATTATAAATAATATAAATGAATTAAGAATACCTGAACCACAAAAGTTGACTTTATCGGCTTTAAAATGTAAAAAATGCAGGTAATAGCATAAATCCATAGATTTTTTTTTTTTTAAAAATAAATTTTTTTTTTTAAAAAAAAAAAAAAAAAAAAAAAAAAATTTCACAGACGAACAATAATGTCGACAGAAGTTTTCGTTGATCATAATAAAGGAAAAGGTCAAACGGCATTTGCATTTAAAAAACGTGATTCGTCATCTTCAATTAAATGTTCTTCGTATTTCGTTGAACCATTGGATTGGATATTGAACGAAGTACAAGAAGGTGAATTAGAAGGAAAAATAAAATGTCCAAAATGTCAGGCTAAATTAGGAAACTTTAGTTGGGCTGGTAAGAAAAGTTTTTTTTTTTGTTATCAAAATAAAATAAATTTATATATTTTTTTGTTGGGAATATCTTTATAGGAATGCAATGTTCTTGTGGCTCATGGGTAACTCCTTCATTTGCTATTCATCGCGAAAAGGTTGATGAAGTTTTAACATGAAAGAATTTAAGGTTTTTAATATATTGTTTTTTTTTGTTTGAGTTTTTATAGAGGATGTAAAATTTAATATTATGTGTATATTTATTAGCTTCTTTTTTTATTATTTAATATCGAAAGTTAATTTTTTTTGATTAAAGCCAATTAACTGGTTAATCTTTTAAGCTCCGTCTCTTTTTTTTTTTAAAAAAAAAAAAACTTGTAATTTGCAAAACGAGAAATCAAAATACGTTGCTTACCTACCTCTTAAAGCTGAAATTGTAAGATCTGCTTTTTGCCATGAAATCCTGTATAAGATTTATCTAAAGCATCCAAAAGTTTAATTTTCAAAGATTCGTCATTTTCATTTGAACTTCCCCAAGTAACCTCGTCATGCGCAACATCACCCAACTTTCCTTGTCTAATTAATCCAATAATTTCATTCATCATTTCACTTCTTTCTTCCTTTGAATGATATTGGTACCATCTTGACATCCAATATCCAAGAAATTTTATATCTTTAAATATTAAAAGTGATGCTGGAATTGTAATTGGTTGTCTTGACATGGCTCCATATGTTACATGATATCCGGAACGACTAAGATGAAATGAAGAAAAAAACGAATTTAATTTATGAATTATTGTAAATTTCGTAAATAGTAAGCACCTTTGTGAGAATAAAGAAAAAATACCATAGATATTTTGCCATTTCTGTTGATATTTTTCCACCAACACAGTTAAGGCCTAATTTAATCCCTACATTATTGTCGTTAATATTCGTCCATTCCTTTATCAAGTCTTTAGTTTTATAACATCCTAATTCCTCATCGGTAACTATATATGTCGCGCCAAGCGATTTTAGACGCGCTTTTAAATCCTCAATTTCTGGTCTTTTGTAAAAAACAAAAAAAAAAAATTTAATTTACGTTTATTTTACATAATTCGTCAAAAGATATGAACGTTACTTTATTACCTATTTCGAACAATGTTTATGGTTTTTATGTTCCATGCATGGGCGATTTGAATCACGGCTTGTCCAACACCGCTATTAGCCCCATTCTGAATCACAAAATCCCCTATCAAAATTCGAAATTGATTAATTTATTATATATGATTTCTATCATGATTAACGGAAATGTATAAGGGATTTGAATTACCTTCTTTTAATGTAGCAAAGTCTTTTAACATGCGAAATGCAGTACAAGCGTTTACTGTCAAAGTTGCAGCCTGAAGTGATCCAATTCCCTTATCGATACGTGTCACATCATTTGGAGTTGCTGCGGCATGTGTACGCCAAGTACCTGCAGTTTTATTTTTCTATTAATTTTTTTTTTTGAATTTATTATTCTTTCTAATAAACAATACGTTTAAACTTGAGAACCTTACCGAATCCAGATCTTCCCATTACAACCCAATCACCAACTTTTAAATCTTCAATCTGATCTCCAACAGCAATCACTTCTGCTACACCCTCATTTCCACCAACGGCCAATTCTTTATGTTCCCCATCAGGTAAAACCCCTAATTCTTTTGTGAATGTAGGTCTTAATGGGTAAACGCCTTCGATTTGATTAATGTCAGCTGGATTAATGGGTGAAGCGAGAAAACGTATATGCATGGTCGTGGGTGTTAAAGGTGGTAATTCATGTGTATGAACTCTAAAAATTTAAATAAATAAATATAAATATATAATATTATAGTCAATGAAATTTGTATTTGTAATTTAAGAAAGTCATAGTATTTATTACCTAAGAACATCCTTTGGAATTCCATATCTTTCAAAAACCACCGCTCTTGCTTTAGGAGATACATATGATGATAGAAATCTGTATTGTGATAGAACTTTACAAGTAGAATGGTGCGAAAAATTAATTGGCCTTTTTAAAAACATGATTGAAATAAAAAAAATTCCCGAGAAAAATTAAATGATTATCAAATGGTGATGTTTAGGGTTTCACAAAACATTTTGGTCTCATAAACCTTACGTGTCGTTCTTATTCTAAACTTAAAAATTCTAAAATGTCTTCAATGTCTCAAACATCCCGAATATCGTCGGTACTTTCTTCCTCAACCGATACACGCTTAATTAAGCGTGTTTCGATTATAGAAAGGAATTTGAATAGAACGAGAGGGACAGAGGTAATTCGGCTCACATTTCCCTTCTCAATATCGAAATTTAACTAATAAACCTTGATGTCGTAGGTCGGACTTGGAGCTTTTGCATTTCTTTTCTCAGAAATGTTACAGTATGCTCAAAGGAGAGTACACGGAATTCAGGATCTTGAACGCAAGTTAGTTTAAAAAAGTTTCGTTATGATAGATAGATATATATATGTATATAATATTAATTCCGATTCATTATTAATAAGGTTGAATGATTTTGGATATCGAGTAGGAACTCGTCTTTTAGAACTGATTGTTTGGAGAGATAAAAATAGTAAGAGAGAGACGCGTGTTTTAGGTATATTATATTTTATTCATACTACGGTTTGGAAAACACTCTTTGGTAAACAAGCCGATACTTTAGAAAAGAGTACAGAGAATGAAAACGAATGTATCCTTTTGATATTATCGATTCTGAACTCAACAATTTTCAGTAATTATAATGTCTTTAATAATTAAAAAAATTAGACATGATTTCAGATAATGATCCTTTGATAAGTAAGTATATTTCGGTACCAAAAGAATTGTCTGAATTGAATTGTAATTCGTTCTTAGCAGGAATTGTTGAAGCAATTTTGGATGGATCTCAATTCGTAAGTAAATTAATTAAAAATCTTTTTATAATTTCTCAAAAAGATGATGATAATGTAATGGTTTTTTTTTTTTTTTGTTCAAATTTAGCCTTCTCGAGTTACTGCTCATTCATTACCAATTGATGGCTTCCCTTTACGTACAACTATATTCATTCAATTAGATAAAGAAATTCTACAAAGAGAGGATCAGCTCAAATAACAAAATATTCTATTTTAATTAATTAACTCTGCAAAGAACATAATGAACGTAATGAAATATGTTTAATTTAAATATTATATAAACTTTCGAATAAATTGTATTTGTAAAAAATTATAGAATTTATTTTCTCTTCTTTGCAAAAGAAGCATTCTTTCCTTTACCTACGGTTTTTTCATTGAATTAAAAATTTGACGAAAGAACCGAATATAACGAAAGTTCGTTGCAAAAAAAAAAAATTTAACGTACCTTTTTTTGGCGCACCTTTACCACGTTTCTTTCTCTTAGCAATTTCTTCCAACCGTAATTTTTCTTCTTGATCAACTAATTTCATGCTTGGAAACATATCAGTAATTTTACGTAAAGTTATTATTCTTTTCGGATACCATTCAACTATCGTAGGACCTATAAGTTTCTGACGAAGTATTTTGTTTCCTGTTCTTTCCCCCTTTGGATTGTATACATTATTAAAAATTTTAGCTGATAATTCCGCTAATTGTGCTAAACGCGTTTTATTTGGTTTTGGTAATATTGAAGCCATTATTTATTTTATCGTATAAAGATGAGTTTATGTCTCGTGGACAAAAATTGAAATAATGTGATGATTAATTATATAATTATTTTCTGCTTGGACATAATAAGTCTTTGAAGAAACATTAACGTTTAAATGTAAATTCCTTAATAAATCCAAAAAAAAAATTGTATAGTTTATATTAATAAATGAGCTAGGAAAAATCACATGCTGATCATATGATTTATAAAATTCCAGTTGTATATGAATAAAATAATATCAAGAAAAATATTGATATATTTATAACAATTTAAGCGCGTAATCTACATAAGTATTCAAGTGATATTTTTCAATAAATTGGTTCAATGCATCATTCTCTTTCCTGTAATCCTCTATTAAACATTTTATTTGTTCTTCATTCAAGAGAGGATACCATCTATGAAATTGCTCAACTGTGCTTGAGAAGAATGCTTCACCAGGAGGGTAGAACCATTGATATAACGGAATATCTAACAAAAAAAAAAAAAAAGTTAACTAGTTAAAGATAACATAACCACCAAGAGTTAAATTAAAAGATGACATACCAACAGAATGGCTCACAATATTCAACGCATGATAAACATAAGTACTTTTAATGCGTTCGTTCACTTCTTCATCGGACATATTACTGGTATCTAATAAAATCTCCCAACTATTAATCATATCCACGATTTAATAAAATAGTTAAATAAATCAAAGTAATCAAATCATCAAGATAAATAGGTGAAAATAATCTTATTTCTATTCATACTTGTCATTAAAGTAAATTCTCCGCCATATTGTTTGCAATATTGCACAACGATGATCCTCAGATAGCTATATACATTCAATATAATGAAAAGTAAGATAAAATTTTAAAATGGTAAATGAAAACTCAAATTTAACGTTAATACTAAACCTTATTGTCGTTAAGTGTAAATTGAAGTGCGAATGGAAAGTCATCCGGCAATTTTTTATCTTTAAGTGTCAAAACTTCAATCAATCCGCTTGTTGAAACCTTTTCACCCTGTAAAATTTTGGTTACTTGCATTTTGTAAATCTGCAAGATCAAATTATAAATAAATACATCCAATTAGTACTTAACGTTCGGATTTAAATATTAAAATGCTTTTTTTTGTTATTAACAATAACCTGTGCTAAATCAGGCTTATAATTTTTCCAATTCCCCGCGGTCCCTTCCATAATCGCATTTACTTGTTCCGATTCTGTAGAATAATGCCGGCTCTGTGTAACTATAAACTTAACAAATTGTTCTTGTAAATCGGAATAAGCATTTAATAGCTCAAATCCGTTTTCAATTTCTAATAACGAGAGTATCGAACATGCAAATGCAGCAAACTTTAATATCCATTGCATAATACAACCACAATGAATTAATTATATGAATCATTACTTTATACCTTCCAAATTTCTTTGTACGTCTTCATTTTTAAAGTCGATTTCATCGCCAAGTTCAGCCAAAAAAGTTAACTTGCTTATACTAAGAAAGGTCTAAAAAAAAAAAAGGTTTTATAAGATATTC